ATTGCGTCTCTGATCTTGGTGTGACGTCATGCCATTCTATGCGCCAGCTGTCGCAGCTGCGGTGCGGTGACGTCACCGCAGCTGCGACGAGGCTGTCCCATTTAGAAAACTCCTTCCAATGTAAAAGTACAGAAATGAATAAATAAAAGAATAAATACATGATTGTGCAGCATAACGACCTTTAACACAAGCAAACTGTCTTCTGTTGGAGACATACTTTTTTAGCCATTTGTATGCAATGTCATGGAAACCATATTTATGCAGCTTTTCCAATAAAATATTATGGTTTACTGTATCGAAGGCTTTGGAAAGGTCTATAAAAATACTGCAAGTAAATTCCTTATTGTCAAGTGCAGAGATAACTTTATCAACAACGTAAAGTAAAGCCATGTAAATTGAGTGATTTTTACGGAAACCATACTGGTGTTTGTAAATAATTGAATTAGACTCCACATGAAACATAATCCTTTTGTGTACAATTTTTTCTAGTATTTTTGAAAAACAAGGCAATATAGATATGGGTCTATAGTTGTTAAAACAAAGTGGGTTTTCTGCTTAAAACAAAGGAATAACTTTGGCAATTTTTAAATCCTCTGGCACAACACCTGTTTTCAAAGACAAGGTGAAATTGTGAACAAGTGGCTGCAATATTGACTGTTTCACCTGTTTGACAAGAAATGCAGAAATGTTGTCATGGCCAGCTGAAGATGTTTTGAGATCATCAATTATATCACTTATTTCTTGAATATTTGGGGCATAAAATTAGAGATAATAGGGACAATTGTTGGAATAAAATCCAGTGGATTCCCATGACAAGACGGAATATTGTTAGCTAATTCATGACCAATATTTACAAAGAATTCATTAAATTTTTGAGCGATATCAAATGGCTTGTCAAGAGAATTGTCACCATCCAAAAAGACTGAAGGAAGCTCTGGGGTCGTCTTTTCTCTTTGTAGCACTTGATTTATTACTTTCCACATGTTTTATATATCTTTTGAGCACTTCATAAATGTTTCACTGTACTATTTCTTTTTTGTAGATCGAATGATATGGGTATAATTATTTCTACAGGATTTATAAGCCCCATGAGTAAGAGGCGTGGGATTTGAAACATATTTTCTGTAGAGTTTTTTTTTTTTCCTCAGCAACTTCAGTAAATGTATTGTGAACCAGGGCTTACTAACTTGAGTGCTTTTCTTGATGGAACTACAAATTGGAAAACAATCATTGAAACTAAGGTTAATAACTTTCATAAACTTCTGATATGCCAAATCAGCGTTATTTTCCACATATAGATCATCCCATGAAATACTGGTAAGAATATCTTTAAATTTTGAAATATTTTATTTGCTGATAATTCTTTTCTACATAATTTTCTTAGTATGTAAGCTCTCTTAATCTCGATTAAAGAGTACTGGAAAATGGGAAAATGATCTGACAAGTCGGAATACAAGACTCCAGATTTGGTTCCTTCACTCAAACAATTGGTTAAGATGTTATCAATCAAAGTCACTGAATTTACTGTAACTCTTGTTGCTTTATGAATAAGAGGGGAAAAGTAACTAAGAATATTGAGAAAATCCCCAGTAGGAGTACGTAGTCGATTTTTTAAAAGGTTTATATTGAAATCTCCTAAAATGTAACAAAGTTTATCCTCATTGTTTATCAGGTCAAGAGAACAGCCCAGACTGTCATTGAAAACTTTGATGTCAGAGTCAGGTGGGCGATAAATAGCATCAACAATAACATTCTTTACACCAGAGACACCAGAGAGCTCTAAAAAAACAGATTCCACCTCATCCCTCTCTGACTTCAACGTGAGATCATCCCTAATTTTGAATTCATAGTCACCGTGAATAAACAGAGATACTCCACCTCCAGATCTATTCTCTCTTACATAGTGAACGGAATTGTATTTTGGTATTTTAAAGATTTCTCTTGAGTCCTCAGTAAGCCATGTTTCTGACAGGGCAATAACTGAAAAATCATGCTTCAGTAAGGATAAATAATGAATAAATTTGTCATAATTGCTAGGAAGACTTCTTATATTCAGATGAAAAGTAGAGAATGTATTACGTGGCAGAGAAACAAATAAGTCATTAAACTGAGTTTCATCATAAAAACTACAGAGGTTAGATACATCAAGTGATGACAAAAAATGTAAATCTGGGTCAATATCAAAATTCTAAGAGTCACTGGTAGAGAGATCAAAAGGCGTAAAGGTCTGGCCTTCCAGATCAGATGTGTTGTAGACAATAATGTATGTAGAGAATCATGTATACAGATACAAAAAAAGTACTTAATACATTTCTAATGTTGGAGACTAAGGAGCCAGACTCTGAACGTTTCTTTGTTGATGTGGGTTTTGGGAAGGTGGATGGACAATAAGTTTGTCGTATCTCAAATATGCAATGTCACCTCTCTCTCGAGCTGCCTTCATTGCTGGGAGTAGTTATTTTCTTCTTTGGCGGATGGATTCAGGGAAGTCCTCATTGATAAAGATGCCTGAGCCCTTCAAATGTTTAGCTTTATGTAGAACAGAGAGTTTATCCTGCAGCCGTAGAAATCTGACCACAATGGGTCGGGGCTTTTGTGAAGATGGAATATGCTTCCCAACCCTATGGGTCCCATCCAACTCTATCTTCAGATGATCCAGTTGTAGTTTTTCACTGAAGAGTTTTCTCACCCTTTCTTCACAGTCAGTCAGGTTCTCTTTACCAGACTCTTTAATGCCATCTGGCACAATATTATGGCGTCTGGACTGGCCCTCCAGATAGTCTGACTTGTCTGAGATTGAGATCAAACTTTTGCAGATTGTGTCCAAATCTGTCCTGGTTTCATTACAATTTTTGAAACCAGTTTTACATGACATTTTAAAATCATCAAAATCTTTTTGAGTCATTTCTAGACTCACCTTAAGATCATAGGTCTGCTTCGACAGATCATCAATCCTCCTGTTTGAAGAATCAACTATGATCTGTACACATGTTTTGAAGATTTTTTCCTGTTGTTCAAGCAAAGTTTTGTAGAAGTCTTTTTGTTGGTCCAACAATTCACGCACTTGAGCCATGGTGACATGTTCCTCAGTGGTATTGTTTGAAGCTTTGGGTGGCATGGTCCGGTCTTTAGGCTTCAAGGCCTACCAGGCCCGAAGTACTAGGTAGTACTTAGTACTAGGTAGGATTCCTCAGACTATAGTTGGATAGAAATGCCAACCACAAGATCACAGAAGCACAGCAGCAGCCTGTCATGCTACAATTTTCATCCGACCACTCCAAAGAAATCTGAATCTGGATCCTGTAAGATCCTCACTTATAAATTGGTGTTCCCATATGAAAATGGCAGAGTGTGAACAGTTACATAATATAGCTTGTGTTACATTTTAAAATGATCTTGTTTACAGGCATGTCAACCAGAATGCAGTTAATGAGCTAGTTGGACCACCTCAGAAATGTGTGACGTGTGGAGAGGAGTTCCCTTTGACAAGAATCAAGGCTCACAGTGATGAATGCGTGAGGTATCGCTCTACAGAACTAAAACGTCACATTTGTCAAGCACTCAAGGAGTCGTACATCAGACATTAAGCATTCGGCTCTGGAGTCTGCCAAAAGATGTAAAGCATTTTGAATGTGGATGATCCTGTATGATCCTGAATATTGGTCTTGAGGGAAAGTTGAATTTGAATGGATTTATTCTATTCTATTTATATGACCATTCTTTTCTAGTTGCAGTGTTTTTGTGAATGTGTAATGTAATATACAATATACTGGCCCCAATAAGAAAACGTGCTTCTCTTTACCCAAGACCATCACAGAGCAGTGGTGAGGTAGAAATTGTGGTGACCACAGAAAGTGCCTCCTGAAGTGAAGGTAGATTTGTGAGCATGTTGACAAGACTACAGGGAAGTGAGACAACAAGGGCCAGCAACACAAACTACTGCGTGCCACCTCAGGGACATGTGGCTGCTCCTGAGATAGTTGACCTAGATCCCATGAGGAGAGAGGCTTCTCAGGTGTGTTACATCATTTAAACATTACATCATTTATTGCAATAAATTGTTGCTCTCTACATATCAATTCATCCAGTATTAATTGGAATAATTTAAAAACTTTTTTTAGATTGGAAAATTCTTTCAAATCCCAGTGAGGCAGCAAAGAGATTCAAAGAAGACATTTTAAGTCAGCATGCAACTGGAAGATCATTCTATCTTACCATGGATCTTGGAGACAGTGCAGAGGACAGTCCTTTCTTTTTATAAGAGGGCTAATGTTGAGTGGGCTTGCCCCTTGACATGCACACTCAAGGGTAAATTGGTTACACACGCAAAACTAAAGATAACAAATGATCATATATTCATTTAACTGATGTCTGTACTGTGTATTTAGCTTTTTCAGGAGATCCAGCAATTGGTGATGGCGTGACTCTCCATCTCTTTGCAACCATCATGTCCAAACTTCAGTATGGTTTTGAGATGAATTTTGGTTAGTGAATATTCACTTTGGCTGCTGGCTGGTTGTCAGCTATCGGGCTCTGTGTTTGGTTTGCACCAGTTTACCACAGACCACAGATCAGTTTCTACTTACCCAGAGAATACCTAAAACCTTAAAAAACAAAGAAATGTGACGCAGCTGCTGTGGCCCTGTAGGTTTCTACAGGATCACCCAAAGTATTCAGTGGCTGATTGATATTTCCTTACTAATTCTGTATGAAAGTTTGAATATATACGTCCTTTACATTCTGCACTATCAATGTTCTTTCACTTTTCTCTTTTAATTGAAGTACCAGGAAGAACTCTTCTTTTTGAGGGGGAACAGGATCATCTGATTCCCTGCACTTGGCATCACCTTTTGGAGAGTGACTTCTCTGTTGTTGCTGGCTGAATGATTGCTCATTCATTCCTCCATAGTGGGCCATGCCTTGGAGGACTCAGCCCAGCTATCCTGCATGTGCTCTTTGGTGGATCCCCAGAAGAAGCCATAATAACTTAAGGAGTGTGCTGACCTTGACATCCGTGAGACAATCAAAGTGGTACAATACATTTTTCCAGTAAGATTTTAATGATAAAAATTCGGGGCAAGGACAATAAAAGTAATACCTGATGTCAGAAATTTTTCTCAGATATTTATAATACCACAATCACATAATTTACTAATTTAAACCAGCAGGGGGTGCTGAAGCAATATTAAAACCATAAACGTAAATACATTTCTTTAAAACATGTCATTATAGTGACTGATGTCATCATGTAAAATGTGTTTTTACAGCAAACACAGTTTTAACAGGTTCCCAACATGCTGTTTAAAAGGGATACAAAATGACATTATTTGGGATGTGGTTTGAGACCAGTGGGTGTCAACCGCGTGATTGATAGTTATTGACAAGTTGTCCTTTCCCTATTTGTTGTATCAAATCTGAATATTATGCAAGTCTTGAAAAATCAGGAATTCTAATCTATTCTAATTCTAATTGTCATTATTAGCTGGAGGGTACAGCAGATTTGTCACCTGAAGAAAATAACCTAATCAATGAGTTGGCACTGTCATGGGATTTGCCTGCAGTCACATCTGACAACAGAAGATGGCTGCTGGACAAACTGCTCCTCCATGCTGTGAGTATTCTGATCTGTACTTAACAGATCATACAAACCAGACCGACT